ATGCATGTTGCTCATGTCTTTCTGTGTGTGTGTGTGTGTCTGTGCTGGTGTGCTGCCTGGTGCTGCTCAGCACGAACCGTCGAGCCGTGTATAGTATCAGCGTTCGAGACATCTCCGTTTCTCGCAGGGACTGCTGGGCTCAAGGCATGGATGCAGGGTCTTGAACAAAGCTGAAAGGCAAACTGTCAAATCGGGAGATGGTGCAGTATACCTTGCAGAACCGCTACGCGCTCTTCCATTCCATTTTGGATGGGGGGTGCACCGGGTTGCCACTGCACGCTGCCAGAGGAGGAGGAGAAAGTTTGGGACGTCGTCAAGGAGTCTTACTTCAACTTCCGCAAGGCTAGCGGCTAGCTGGTAACACACGCCACCCCCCTTCTTCTAGGCCCGCCATAGAGAGCAAGGGCAGGGTGTTTGTTCCGAGTTGAGTTCCGCACTGCTTTGCTGCAACCTACTGGACTACTGGAATAGCAAGAAAGCACTAGTCCTAACCTAAATACCACATACTATACCCACAAACCCATTGTAATCACGAAGGCCCCGATAAACACATACAGCACTGCGTATTCCCAGTAGGCTGCAATGTGCTCTGTGCATGTCAAGCCACAAGCGGGGCTTCTTGCTACCATCCTAAACCCTAAAGCCTAAACCCTAAATCCTATCCCTTCCCGGTTAAAACGCGCCCTGGAAAGCTCGAGCCGGACGAGATGGACCAAATGCTCCTGTCTCTGCTTGTCGGCTGCATTTTATCCATTTCAAAAGGCGCGCGGAGGATTTGGGGTTTCTCAGGATTCCAAACTTCCCTGTGTGGAACTGCTCCACTTCTTGGCAGCATGGAAGCTTCACTTAGGCAGGAGAAGCTGCCTGAGAGCGCGGTGCCGCAAGCAGGGAAACTTGAATGCAGCAAGACATCCTGAAAGAGCCCTACGTGTCCCACAGCCTTCCCAACAGTTGGTTTTCGGGCTGCGGAAAAATAAGTTTAGGGCCTAGGGTTCAGGGAGTTGTTTGCTAAAGCATCTGCCAAGACATGTCCCTCCTGTGGTGGGGTCACGGTTTCCACTGCCTGGGCTCTGGCGGTGCTGCCGGTTTTGGTTCGGCTGGTCCCATCTGGCCCTTGGAGGGGTGTAGCCACTGATTGGATGGCCGAGGACGGCCGAATCGATGAGGCGACAGGTGATGTTCAACGCCTCGGTTGTCAATCACGGCCGCCTCAAGACGGACAGATGCGGTGGCGCAGGGGCAAACCTCGTAAGTGGGAACCGACGCAGTCCAGAAGTGCATATGTTTCGCGAGTCCTCTGGCCTTAAGGCTCTCTGTAAGGTGGCCACTGCAACTTTTTTGCAGTTTTGAAGCTTGTTGCTATCATGCAAGAAGCCCTGCCACCAAGCAGCTGTAATTGCAGCCTAACATAAGTAACGAGCTCATGCAAGTTCCGGCTTTGCAGCTGCTTTCGGGCTTTGGATTCAGCTTCGTGGAAGTACCGCGCTTTACCTTCATGGGGCTCCAGTTACCTAAATAGTAGGTTACTGGGGTACATAAATACATGGTTAGTAACCCACTATCTAGGTAACTGGAGCCCTAGGGGCTGGGGTTAAGGTTGGCTTTGGCATAAGCATCATCACCAAGTACTCCCTGTCGAAGCTCCTCCCGCAGGGCCGTGTTGCAGTTGCTTCAGGACTCTAAGCCCGTGTCATGTCCCTAAACCTTAAGCCCTAAATCCCAAAAACTGCAACCCCAAACCTTTGGCCAATGTGCTTTTCAACGTACCAGGAACCTCGCCAGGCTTGTCCCAGTTGTGAGTGCTGAAACCCTAAAACCCCGAAACCTAAACCCCAACTCCTAAATCCTAAACCATAAATCCTAGACCCTATATCCTAAACCCTAAATCCTAAAGCCTAAACCCTAAATGTCTCCGGCAGCAACCTGCTTTGATCCTCGCCATTGCCTGAGCCCTAGTCCCTAAAAGCTACAAAGGGCCTGGGTAGGCAACCTGTAACCGTTTTGGGTATATCGAACCCTACCGCAATCAGAAGCTTACCTTTTCGAGCGAGGGTACTCAGCCCCTACGTAAAGGATCTAGGGCCGACTCCTATCGCAGGAGGCCGCCGACCTGGCAAAGATCAGCCGCGACCTTCAAAGTCGAGAGGTGCCTTCTTTGGGGTTTAGGTTTAGGGTATTTGGTGGTCAGTCATCACGAGACCTTTGAGCATGTGTAGGGTGGAGAATGTTCAGGGGCCCAGGAACAAGATCCTAGATACTGCCTACACCCGTCCACGCAGAAATTACAACTTACATACATACAAACATCCATGCAGAAGTGACTTTGATTGTGCTGGTCAGTCTGCCTGTCTGCAGGTATGCATGGTTCACTTTTTGCATGTAACATGTTTGCATGAAGTAGATTAACGTTTCAAACTATCTGCAGCCACGCAGTCCCATGTTCTCCGCGAAAGCTGTCCATCCTTCAATGAAGGTTGCATTAGGCCCTGGGCTGCAATATAGAGGTCTGATTGCTGCCGTGCAGTCGCTTTACCCCCAAACCCTACTCTAAGTCTCAAAGGCCACTAAAGTAAAATTTTTGGAGAACAACAAAAATCCAGCTATTCTTGATTTAGGCTTATTGCTACTCAGCCCCCCATATGTGCGAATGAGCAAAGACAACCCTGCTATGCTTTCTTTAATGTTTACGTTTCTTCTCCGGGCTGTTTGCTTCCTGACAGGAGCTTTGTGCCCCCGTTCTGTCCAGAAGCTTGGATGCATCCGTGACTGAAACCATTGCCTGTGGAATTCCAAATTTCTGTTGCCAACGGTTCTATGTTGGGGTTGAACAGGAAGTTAACTACCAACAGAGGCCTGACATAAATATTAGTGGGTTCCGCGAGTAGGACACCACGGAGGAGTGGTTTCTTCATGTCAGCAGGTGCTTTCGACTCACATGTCTGCCCCAGCCATGAGGAAGCAACAGCGACCGCGGCTTTGGGTAGGTTGTTGATTTGCGAACAGCAAGGGCAGACAGCAATACGAACATGCATAGGAATGGACAACACAACACAAGATGCAATCGCGACGTCAGGGGTGAACATCAATAGTCACTACCAAGACTTTCTCGTGAGTACTGGATAATAGTTTCGGAAAGTGCAGGAGCTGGACGACGAGGAGGACGAGTAAGGAAGGGAGTTTCGCAGGATAATGAGCACCGCAGTTAGAACGGGGAAGCATCCATACCTGCGAGGCGCTGATTCTAGGACTCTGATAAGCGGCTGTGTTCTGTCGACGCATCCAGTCCGAAAGCTGTCCGCTCGAAGGAAAGCTGAACCTTCCTCCGAACATGATTCTGAAAGAAATCCTGGCCGAGGGGTGCTTGCCCCTTATCCTTGTGGAAGGTCTAGGGTTTCAGGGCACGGTTTGGGGTTTAGGGGTTTAGGGTGTTGGGTTAGGGGCATCATGCGTCTAACATGGATGGGTGTATGGTTTAGGCTTGCTGGCTTAACGGCACTTCGGGCTTGGAAGCTTTGCAGGCTCAGAGCTTTGGGATTCGTCACGTGTCGGCTCGTGCTGGGTTTGATCAGGCTCGGACTCATCAAAAGATCTACAGTGCCTGTGAGAGAGTAACTTACTGTTCCAGTCGCTGGGCATCAACAGCCATAATTCAGAAAGCCCGCGTTCGAAAGATGCTAAAGGAAGAAGCCACTACTACCCCGACTGTACAAGCTGCTGGACAATGCACGGGGCCTCCTGCCGTTTACCGACTCTTGGGAGCAGGAGGCGTGTCTCGTCGATATCTGCAGTGGTTCTTCAGTTGTTGTGTCTTTTGTTGAGGGGGGCTGGGGCCGAGGTGGATCGCGCGTCAGGGATCTGCGTTGTCTGTTTTCTTTTGTGCTTCTTCAAGTCTTAGCGAAAAGGTACTCAAGACCGGTTACCGAAGACCACCTACTTCGTTCTCCAACATGGTCCTGTTTTTGTAGCACTATCCTAACCGTGACTGAACTCATTGGAGAGTACTTATAGGTGAACCCCGAGAAGCCCTTATTTATGAAAGGGCGCACCCAGTTAAAAGTCGAATTCAACCCCTATACAGCTTGATAAAAGCCCGATAAGCCCTTGTTGTCAGTTGACTTCTGCTTGCTGAGCTTTTTAAGTCCTGAGACTCTTAGACCTGCACCCTTTAGCAATGGCATCCCATTGCAGGAAGGAGCCAGATCAGCGCGATAGTGTCAGCATTACCATAATCACGGCCGTCGTGTCAAGAGAAGCCCTCATAGACATCACATCAACACGCGAGACCTAATTACGTAAAATGCATAGAGTTGATTGCCTGTAATTCTCCGACAGCTGGCTCCCGAGGCAAGCGATTCTTAAGGAGGCTCTCCCGTCGCCCTTGGACCGATGGCTACTCCGAGAAGTGCTTTGGACCGTGGAGCCTCGCGACGAACCGGACTTTATCATAGCTATCCTTTTGACATTCCGCTTTCTACCTGTATAGGATAACGAGTTCGAAGTATTAAGGCACGTATAGCATTTGGTTCTTGGGCTGCCAAAACTGAGATTTGGGTTTATAGAAAACTCCACACATCGAAGTTTGGTACTTGATCACATACTCGGGGTTTATCCAAAGTGGGGTGTTAGCTCGAGCGATTCTGCTTAGGGCTTAGGGACTACCGAGGAATGCTCCAGTGGACAACTGTGCCGGATCCCATCCTTTCCTCCCCGGAACAGGGCTTAGGGTGGAGGGGTTTCTGAATCCGTTAAGGACAAGCAATGAATTCAGGGAATCTGTGGGTAAAGCTTTCGATTTCGAGCGCTTCTACCTGGCATCCGGTTACCCTATGATAGGGTGGGCCGGGGGTCTTTAAGCATAGCTGTGGGGATAGATCAAGGGACGAGCCGCAACTTTTGAGCCTTCAAAAACTGACAATTGCCTTTGGCGGCTTTAGCACTTAGCTTGCGTTGCATCCATCGAGGAAAACGACGACGACGCCAAGCATCATCAAGGGAAGATAATGGCAACTGCATTCGAGGATGCTTTGGTGCAGTTTTGCCAAGATGCGGGTGGCTTGGTGCAGGACCACCAGGTGCTCTGAAAAACACGGTTAGACCTGCCGAGCTGCAGCGTTTGCATCTGCATCTTGCTGGAAGAATACAACTTAGCGGCCAGGCGCACCTTCTGCATGCTCTTGCGACAAGACCTTTTGGCTTGTGAGCGTGATCTCCCGGTTCTGCGAGCAAAGCGAAGTTTCAGCTCAGGCCTCTCCGTGCAAACTGAGCTGGAGCTCTTGGAGCAGGTTGCTGAAGGAGATACGCCGATCACGCCGGACCTGCTCTTTGAGTCTCCAGTATCTCTGCCTCATCGGAAGGAGTCGGTCAGGCCAGGGTGTCGACAGCGAGGGTCGTAGACTCCATGCCTGGAGCCAGAAGCCCTATACATAAACCCCAAAATCGAAGACTAAAACCCTGAACCTTTTAGGATTGTAGTGCTTAGGATCTGCTTGAACCTTGGCCCCCCTGAGGTGGATGGAATGCAAGAACTTCTACGGAACGACCTTCAACTTCGTGATTCAAAAGAAGCTGGTGAAGCAGGCGAAACGCTTTTTGGCATGCAAGCTAAGTCGAGGCTTCGTAGAGTTTGACTATAACCTTTGAGATGACCACCGACCTCAGACTTCTTGTCGCAAGGACAGTCTCCTAGGTCTTCAATGCTGGATGTATAGGCAGTCCTGAAGTCGAAGATTAGGGTCTACTTGGAGGTTTATGGGTAGTTATAAGCGGGGTTATAAGTAGGGTAACTATGATTATAACCCATATTAGGGGAATTATAACTCTACTTTTAACTACCCATGAACCTGCAAGTATCCGGTGAAACCCGAGATGCCAGATCCAGATCGCTGGAGGCAAAGCCACCAGGATCTCTTCTGTCTGAAGCCGTTGCGACTTGTACAGGATAAGGACAGCAGTGAAAGGTTTCCTGCCCTGTGGCCGCTTCCTCTTGCCCACGCCATGGCATTCCGCATCGTCGCCCTGATTCTAACGCTGAGCCAGGCGCAGAATCTGACTGGCCCTACAGCGAAAGCGCCAGCGACGCCGGAGCTCTTGAGCGACTTCCTCCACTGCCCATGTGGCGCCAGTTGCCAGCAGGACTTGGGCAAGAAGGACATCTACAGCCTGGGGAAGAACTGCACCTGCACCACTTGCACTGTGCGGGGAGCGACCGCCAACACGCTGCCGACAGAGGCTGCGACGGCCGACCAGCCGCAGACCGTGATGCCTGACAGTGGCGACTGGGATGCGGCAACCATGCCGGGTGACGTGATGTACTGCAGGTGTGGAAGTGGCTCTCAAGGCTGCCGAAGCTGCACCCGAACCAGCTGCCCCTGTGGCAGCACCTGCCTGAAATATTTAGTTTGGGCCAGGGGCATGGGTTGGTGTGTCGAGCGCGTGTGCAACGGATGCCGCTGATCATAGAGCCGTTCTTGCAGCATGCATATATACCTGTACAAGACAGGCCGCGGCTGCAGTTGAATTCAATTTTGCAAGAGACCCGTGACTGCTTTAGGGTGGGCAGCTCCGCAACAGGGGGAGCGCAGGGAACCTGTATAATATAGGGGCCTTAATAATTAGAATAGGGTTTTGGGGCCCATTACACTACAAATATAATAAGGAACCCCCCAAAATAATATTGGTAATTATTTAGGCCCCTACATTAGCGACTGCCCAAAGCTTTCAGGGGCTCGCCGCCATGTGGCAGAGGACTCGGACAACCTCATGTCTCCGGCCCGTAACCAGGCCGGGGGTCGTATAGGGCGCCAGCAGGCCCAACAAACAAATTTTCACTCCTGGTGTAACAATATAAAAAATACTAACATACTAATATAGTAATATAGTGATATAATAATTAATATAGTAGTTAATATAATAATATAATGGAGTCGCGGGCGGTGTACGCTCCTCACCAGTGAAGTTCTCTGGCATGCACCTAAAGATGCGCCAGGTTTGTCCAGGCCCTTTGCTGCAGCTAGTGCAAGGATGAAAAAAGGGCTCCGGGCTCCGTTCGATCTCTAGGCCCTTTATGTCTGCCATTCTTGGACTGGACCATGAGCGACATGTTAGTTGTGGTAGCTTCAAACTGCCGAAAACTTTACGAGGATCTCTCTCCCCTGCAATCAGCGTCACTTCGGGCAACGATCAGTACTCGTTCTTGGTCCGTGTTGTCTGCCATGCTGCTTTTGTGACTGTCGAGAAGTTCTCACAGTGAAATTTTTAGGGTAGAAATCATGTTTGAAATAAATTTTTAGGGCACAAATCAGAGTCGACATTTTTCGGCAGAAATCATACTTAAACTTTTTAGAGCAGAAATCATACGGTGGCGTGGAAGGACGTACTTCAGGATCCAACGGCCTCTGTTGGTGTGTTTAGAGCCAGGTTTAGGGTTTAGCTTCCGGGTGGATGCTTCGGGGAACATGGAAACACTGACTGGCAGGACTGATTTGTCGGAGTTTGCATACAGACAAACGGGGTGTAGGCCCGACTCGAACATGCCATGCTTTGCTAGCCAAACGACTGCGAGCTTCTGACGGTTGGCGGCTTCAAGGTCCAGATTTCCCAAAGCCCCTTGGGCCCCACATTGCACCCTGACCTCATACATAGACCACTCATCAATCTTAACATAGCAGCATGCCTAATAGAAGGACCCTCCAAAATAGGAACCCTAAACCCTAAACCCTATTCATTGATCTCGCCTGGCATGTCCGAGTTGTGAGAGCCTAAACCCTATTCAAAACCCTAAACCCTAAACCCGAACCCCCGAATCCTGGGGGAAGCTTTCTGAGGCTATGCCAATGCGCTGGGGCCGGGTGCTCTGGTGTTCCGGCTCCTCGGACCCGCGTTGAGGGAGCCTGCTTTCCGAAAGGTGCTTGCGCCCCTTTTTTTTGGTGTTTAGGGTTTAGGGTTTATAGGGTTTATAGGGTTTAGAGGGTTTAGAGGGTTTATAGGGTTTATGGGGCTTATAGGGTTTAGGGTTTAGGGTTTAGGTGGGTCAAAGCTGGACACCCAGGCATGGCTATTCTGCTGCCATGAAGAGGCACATGGAAGAGACGCCCGGACGCAAGCTTCTGCAAGCCAAAAGTTTCAGCTACTGGATGGTATGTGAATTCTTTATTTCGGGCATCCCGGAGGGTCCACGTGGGGGGTTTCAGATGGCCTTGTCAGACTGCGCGAGTCGCACCGTGTTCGAACCTCGGAGACTTTTTTGCAAGGTTTGCGCTGACAACACAAAGAATCTGAAGGGGAAAAGAGAGATCGGAGTGAAAGTTCAAGTAGAGCCATCACACACCTATCGCTGTTCGTCAAAGTCTCTGGATCCCCCTGCAAGTCACGGCTAGCAGTTTGCGCTCTTCGATTGATGAACCTCCGAGTCGCCGGCCTAAATCATCAAGCTCAACTCGACACCCTAAAGTAACGGTAAACCCTGGAGCCCTCAGCCCTAAACCCTATAAGCCTTAAAACCTTAAACCCTATTGGAAACCCCAAAGCCTAAACCAGCCCTAGAATGCTCTAAACCCCCAATAGTCTCCTCAGGAAGGTGCCCGGAGTCGTTGTGCTGGACGGATCCCGTTTACCCGACTTGCTGGATTGTGATGAGCCTTCGACTTTTGCCGCCGGGCCAAAGGCGCAAAAGGGAGGTTTCAGGGTCTCTAGGGCTTCTAAGGGCATGTCGGGAGGTTTCAGGGTCTATAGGGCTTAAAGGCTTCGAGTCTTGACGGCTTAGTGCTGTTAGGGTCAGGGGTTAAGTGAGGGCTTTTTGGGGTTTCGGGGGTTTTGGTAGGGCTCTTTGGGGGCCGTTGAGGTTTGCGGCTGTTTCTAGTATTTGGGCTTAGGCACCGGATTCGAGCCCAGGGTGCGAGCTTGGGATTGTGGTGTCTTGGGTTTGGAGGAAGTTTGGGGCTTCATCATCTGGGGGGTGGTGCTCGCCGACCGCGCCTGAGGCACCCTGAAGCCCCGGAAGCCCTAAAGCGCCATAAGGGCGGACCTCAGAGTTCAAGCCTGTTGAAATGTGAATCCCGAAAACCCTAAACTCAAACCCCCTAAACCCAAAACCCTAAACAATCAACCCTGCAACCCTAAAGCCTGAACCCTAAACCCTAAAGCCTGAATCCTAAGCCCTAAACCGTAACAGTTTGAGCTCTTGAGAGGCGGAGTTTTGGAAGCTGGACCTTCCCAGCGGCCCCGGCCGCGGCAGTGGGAAGAATCCCCCGAAAAAGACTAAACTCGCCAAGAAAAGAACAGACGGACTTCCGCGAACTGGTAAGTCTAAGCTTTGGAATCGCCGCTAAGCTTGCAGAAAAAGCTCGTGCAGGGTTTGGAGTTTAGGATTCTGTAGTTTTCTTTTTCTGGGTTGTTTCTGCCGAATATGATGAGTTCATGGCCGCCCAGGTTGCTCATAGGGCATGTGTGGTATGGGGTCGATGTTCCTTTCGTAAAAGGAGGAGCAGTTGCCACAGCGTCCAGAACAGCCTTGCGCACAACACGCACACAGGCGTCCACCCACAGAGAGCATCAAGACTTTGGCATTCCGGTGAAGCAGAGAAGTGCTGATGGGCTTTTGCTTGGCCAAGAAATTCGACGACATTTGCAACAGACGGAAGATTGCATCTCGCACGGGCTTCGTCTGAGACTTGCGGGTCGCAACGGGTTGGTAAAGCCTTGAAAATCAGGTGTCTTATTGCCTTCATATTATTAGGGGTGTGTCTTTAGTTTCCTCAAAATCTAGGTCTTGTCCTGTTATTATTAGGTGAAGTTGTGGCTTAACTCGCAATCTTGGGCAGGTGGGTCCTTATGCTGTTACGATCTCCGCAACACGTAAGCATCTTAAACTTGTTCGGGGCCAGAGACTGAGACAATGGCAAAGCCGAAGCATGAACAGGATGAAGCAACATCTGCAAGCGTGTGACGTGACATGCCTCTTTCCTGTAATCCTCACGATGGTTTTTTGATCATTGTCATTATGGCTTTTAGGTCAGCCGGGGACCTTGCAACCATGTAACCCCAAACGGGCATGATATCTGTCGCTGCTCGCCCAGAGCCCTCTATGTCCTGTCTACCTGAAATCAAAAGTCAGAGCCCTTCGAAGAGCTTGGTTTGCAGGGCCATGGAGGCAGCCACTGCAAGCATGATGCGCAACTCCTGGACTGCTCGGAAGAAGTAATTGTGGAGCCCCCCTTACTTGAGCAGAGGAGAGCCTTGATCGGGTCATAGGGGACGTCGGATCTAGGAGCCTCATGGGTTTCTTATCGGTTTCGGCACAATTGATCTGGCTCAGATGTCATTGGGATGCCGCACGTCGGGTATGCCAACTCATGTGTGACAGGGGGCCTTCGAGGGGAGTTGGGGAGTTCGGCTTTCGGCTGCGAGTGCTTGAAGCCACGGGAGCAGCCCAGATCTTGGAAAGAGATAACACATGAAGCAGATTGGATTCACACGGTTGACATCAAATTACAATCTGTAGCGGCGTGCGTTCACCATCACCTGTATGCTTTCCACACCTTTCCACTGCGCGACACTTTTGCAAAGACCGATTGTGCAACAGAGATGTCTGGATTAGTGCTGGAAATGTCCGCTTCGCCGCCATATAAACCATGAGTGTTTGC